ATATATATAATATATGGGGAAATATATGTGAACCATTACGCAACGAGTTGACAATGGTTTTAGGTATGCCCGTTTGCGCTGAGACGGAACCCGGTCGCACAAAACGGCCATGAGAGGGGCACGAGTCGCTATTCGGCTTGTCCCGGAATAACACGAGTTGGTCACGAATGTATTTGCGGTATTACTCGACGGTAAGTACACGCATTTTCATAATATACAAACTACCCGCTGACTCGTATGAAAACGCACAGCCAACATTGACTGACTCGATGAGTCATTATCTGTCTGGCTACCCTCGCCCAGCAAGAATCGAGTTGGATTATTAGATTCTATATAAACCTAAATGTTTTGAATGCAGATGTTTCTAAATAGGTGATGTGTGCTTTTATGCTGTTATTAACGTGTGTCTAGAATCTGCATCTTATCTTTTCTTGCAATCGACCTCGGAAATGTCGGAGGTTAGGTGAAATTGGGTCGCGTCCAAGATTATTGCACTTATATAGCGACGTGCATGCACGAGTATGTATGTGTGTGGCTGCTTGTACTAGTCCGGACTGATGCCGATTTATAGTGCTAGCTCACTGAGATACATGCCGCAGTTTAACATGAATACCCCACTCAGACACAGTATACTGACTCCGAGCCGACCAGTCCTTGTTTTAGTCCCTTAATGTCGAGCGCCAGACAGGGTAACTACAAGTACATCTTTTAACGTCTTTTGGTATGACGCGGTGGGGGTCGAACCCCGGACCTTCCGCTCTCCGGGTGGACGCTCTACCACTAAACCACGGAGGCGGTCTGGAAATGTCTGAGATAGCTTCACACTTTATTGCAAGGTTGCACCATGAGAGAACATTCCATGCTCGAATCATATAAGTGTTGTATTCATACACCACCAGGGATAATTCAAGGGTGGGGCATTGTGCATTTAGCCCCAAAATTTGAAAAAAAGGCCCACATTATTAAATACAATGAGGCATTTTAGTATTGTGCTGTTTGGGCGTACCTCTGGAATATTTGAAATTTTCACATAAAGGGCCCATGTCAGAAAATTCCTTGAGTAAATCCCTGCATCATCCATACCAACGTTGTCATTTTTTCAGCGAAAAAAAAGTTGAGATGAATGTGCAAAGCTTATATAATGAGTAATAAATATATTACTACATTCATCACCGTTTGACACGTTTTCAAATAAAATGGTATCTAACAGGGACTCGTTAAGTTAAGTATGAGAGACAGAGAGAATGAATAATGTTTACTATAGTGTCATATGTTATATACACTTCATACTAAAACGCGTACACAAACAATAAAATATAACATCCGACAGGTATGGCCTACGAGACAATGTAGATATAAAATCATATGTATTACGTCATAATCAGGATAAGATAAATTAAGACATATATCAACACAACGTTCAAAATCAAGTTATGAAATTCGTTGAACACACATACACACATGCATATGCAGACGCACATGCACGCACATACACACACACACACTCCAAATTACTTATACAGTTACGCACGCACGCAATCATACACAAACACGTAGACACATACACAGGCACACTTACGAACATGCATACTGTCATATACACTATGCACATGTGTACCCTTCCACCACACACACACACGCGCGCGCACGCGCCCCCCACACAGAAGTGCATTTATCCTCACCGACATTCAACATAACGTAATATTGACCACAAGCAGAGCTATTATTATTCTCAAGCATAATAACATACATGAAGAAAGGCGCACACAGAATTAAATGAGTATCAAGCGCCTTTGAAACATTTGATCAAATAATTTACAAAGAGTATGACCCGTGTTCACATCTGCATAATGTAATAAATTGCTCGGTTGAAGATAAATTAAAGAAATCTGGCATACATTCACACACAGCGTTCATTACTGTACATCATAACGTAAATCATCATACATGTGAGAATCAATTAAAAAATGGACCTCAGTCCTACTGAGTTAAAACAAAAAGGGCAAGTTCTAGCCTGTATACATGTATATTCAATGCGATTGTGGTGTCACGTAGTGGGTGGGGCAGTTTAATTGTGGTTTGGGTAGCGGGTGCGCGGGGGGTACACGTATGTTCCGGAGGGCTGAGCTCAATGTGTCGAATTCTTGTCAGTTGACCTGTTTGTAAACAGAAGTGGACTATATATAACTCTTGTTAACCTTTGATAATTTCTTCACTTGGAACTTAGATTTAAAATAAACGAGCACTGTAGAGTCAATATATTTTGCTATCAGAGATCCTTCATAATTACATATCTTCAAATCGTCCATCTATTCAACCTAAAAACCCACGTCCATGGATTTTCAAGGGCAAGATGGATTCCCTTTGTTCGGCCATGTTTTGCCAGCTGGTCAAAATACAGGCAATATTATGGGAAAAAGTATGCACATGATACATTTATATCTAAACTTAGAGAATTAAATTTCATATGAGACTTATAAATTATTTGTAATTTAAGATTCCTTTACATACCTATACAAATGCATTATGTATACCTTTTTGTGTCTGTGAATATAACATACATTATAACGTATCCATTATTCCTTGTTTTGTAATGGAATGAGCGAATTCTTCTTCGTTTGGACAAATGCTGGACAGACAGAGTAATTCTTAAAGATTTTACAAATAGTTAAATACTCTACATCAATGCTTCAAATATGATGCTTTATGACGAATTTGGGAGAGAACCTTTATTATAAAAGAATTTACAAAAGAGTTATCCCATTTGGTGTATAAAATTGCAACAAATAATGAAACCTTGAACTTATCAAACGTACTGTACAAATATATTGCTTCGAATGGATCAAATTTTCGAAGGATATTATTTGCCACGAAAATACTCAACAAGTGAGGCCCTAATGAGGTTTTTGATAATTTGCATCGATGTATTCTATTACTGGCTGCAATGGAAGAAAACATACCAAGAGATCAAATCTGCAAACATGGCGTAGTTCCCAAGGTCAATACCACCAATACTATACTCCCAGGCAAAAGTTATCGTGACGTTGATTTTTATATGAAGTTTTGGAATTGAACCAGGAAATATGTTTGAAAAAAGCTGGAAGAAACGTAACCAACAATTTTACCACGTGAGAGACCGACCCCTATAGTCGCCGCCGAGCAGGACAGCTGGATTCGAAACACGCAACCCCGACACAGGTTCCAGACAGCAACCTTTATACCCCGCGCCCTCCTTGGAAACAGGGGCGTGTCTGCAAAGACGGTCCTATGACATGTATGGCATACGAGTGAGGCGCCAATGTACGGCCAATCCTGACGGCAGAACACAACGTCAAGTCTCCAGTGGCGTAGACAACTTGGTGGACAGCAGGTCGGTGGAGACTCACGAAGGAGTTACGGTTCCTTCTGAATATCCAGGTGTCAACCTGACCTGCAAGAATTAGCTAGATAGGGTAAATCGGGTACCCGGGTCGGGTGAGCACTGAGTAGGTACCCGCAGGACTACCCGGACCCGTGGTTAGTCACGTGATATATTGTTTAATGACAAAAATTATCTAGAACTCTATGGTTACACTACAAGTCACTAATGTTCGCATTTCTCTCTGTAAATAATCGAGTCTGGACCAGATAATCCAGTGATTGACGTCATGAGCATCAATCACGCTATCGGGATACGATGCATCAACCAAGTCAGTGAGCCTGCGGGCCACCCGAACCCGTTCGTCGCCTCTTACGACAAGCATGTTGTTGCCTTTTACGGCAAGCATGGCTTGCTGAAGACCTATTCTACCCCGGATCTTCACGGATCTGACTCATTTGCATATGGTAGGGCCTAGCGCTCCTTATATGGATTGTTGCTCGTTACAACACCCTCAGAAATTGCTCTTTCTGTTATATAATTCCTCACACAGAAGTACAATTGTTTGACCGATGCTGTTTGTGTTTTGTATGTCACAATACCTTTTGCTTTTGAGTATACAAGAAAAATATGTTTTGAAAATATAATTTTTTATGCCCAAATCGATTTATTACCATATTTTAAAATTTAGATCTTGTAACCATAACCATACCGATTGAAACCGGTCGTTGGAATAAATACTCCAAGCAACGAACGTATCTAACGCACATAGCTGCTGTTGGGGACGAGTTTCACAATATATTTTTACATGTTAATATAAGCTCTTTACCAACTTCAGATTTTGTATTTTCCAGAATTAGTGTCACATGGGCCTAATCTGTTTCCATTAAAAGTATTATATATAGTATAGAGAGCTCCGCGAGCGGGCTATTGCTGTGAGGAGCTTGCACATTTTGCATGATGTTGCCAGATGTTTTAAATTATTTTTGGTGAGTTTTCAATATTTCTTAAAAAGATTCAGTTTTCCACATCATTTTCGGTTAAATATATTCTCTTCTCATGAAAACGAGTAAAAGCAAAACGAGATGCGATCACGTGCGCGCGAAAACGGGGGACCGACGGAAACTGGTCGTTTGTCGTGTAAACATAAATGGCCACCGGGCGATTCTAACGTCGTGATGACTTGCCAGTCGTCGTACATTTGGTGGCATAGGTAAGAAAACTACTGGCCATGCAGGCCGAAATATTCAGGGGGGTGAGTTGAATTCGTAGACAGCGCCAACTCGAAGACACGATTTACAGTGTACACGTTCCTTACTGTAGTAATGTATGTTGGATGCGTCATTTATACATTTTCTGCGCATGTAGCCTAGTGTATACATATGGCGTATATTGACCTGATTGACCCTGGAAATATCCTGAAAATTTGCATACAGAATATGACACGTTACAATAATATGAAAGGACAAGAATGGCAATATGAATTATTCGTCCTGAAATTTCCTTTTTATTCAATTTCTATGAACATTTACCAATTTCAAAAGTGACACACGACATAAAAAACTCCACTCACGTGCCAACAATACACCTGATATTGATCAAGAAATTTTCTGTCTATATTTCACAGTTGCCTTTGTTTCAGATCAGTCGCGAGAAGACAGGAGACAATAATGTAAAGGTTCAGAGTGGGCATGGCAGTGAAGTATTTTGATAATGAACTTACTCAGTCAAAGTCAGTAAGACAAGAGAAGCCTGAGAAAGAATTGATAGACAGCAACATACCTGTTCATTCGGAAAACGAATTAAGAGAAGTATCGCTACATTTAGAGAAAATTATTTCCGAGCAGTCTTCTACAATACCTGCAATACATCAAATTAGCACTGAACTTAAGGATACATATTTAAGTCCCAAAGAAAGGGTTCTACAGGAACTGATTTCACAGGAAAGGATTTTCAAGGAACGGGATATCTTTGAAACAATTACCAAGGAAACATTTCTCAAGCATATTGTATTTGCAACAGATTGGTTGTTCTATATCTGTTCGTTGGTCATATTTGCAGTCAATCGACTAGTCATGTCTGCACTTGAGAATCAGTATTTCAGACGATTATTATCTGGAGAACCAATGAGCACAGGAGAAGAGATGAAGTTTGAACTTCTTCGTCTGAAAACATTTGCAGGATGGATGTTACTTGACCGTGCTAGTCCAATCAGATTGGCCAAAGCAGGATTTATTTACACAGGAAATGAAGATGTTGTTAAATGTTTTTCTTGTGATGTCGTGAAGGGAGGATGGAGCCGGAATATGAACCCAATGTTGGTTCACAGAGAACTGAACCCATCATGTTCCTTCTTTCAAGAAGCAGATGATGTGAATATCCCAGTCTTCGTTCCACAACCATCCGAGTACCAGGAAATACAAAACTCCTTGCACAGACAATACTGTGGCACCGACTCCCCGGCAATCACCAGCAGCAGCTTCTCAAACCGACCAGAAGACAATCCTGATTATTCCAGTGCCACCTTCAGGCAGAATCAGGCAACATCAACTCAGACAAACTTCCCCGTTGTGGCTACAGACTCAGGAGCAGCAGAAACAAGTCGCCAGGCGATTGGCACGGCCAGAGGACTCGGACTTGGACATGATTCAGAAGCTACCCCAACCAGGGAGGAATTTGCACCTATGAAGAAGGAGGCCAACCGATTCTCCAGCTTTGATGCCAACTGGCCAAGACAGAACACTCCAGACCCCAGAGATCTGGCCCGAGCTGGATTCTACTTTACTGGGACTGTTGATCGCGTTCAATGCGTGTTCTGTAGAGGAATACTTCGCAACTGGGACGAAGACGATGTCCCTATGGAAGAACATAGGCGCCACTTTCCTATGTGTCCTTATGTCATGGGATTGGATGTCGGAAATGTTCCGGACCCAGTGGCTATCATATCTGCAAACAGAACATCTGAGTTCATGAACGTCACCCAGCCAGCTGCTGTGGTCAGCGATGCCAGCCTGGGGATTGTTACTGACCGGCCCAGACACCCACAGTATGCAGTGGAAGCTTCCCGAGTCAGCTCCTTCAGAAACTGGCCCAGTGGAAAGGAACAGACACCCCAGATGCTGGCTAAGGCTGGCTTCTTTTATGCTGGTAAGTATTTTTTCTCTATTTTATGGTAACTGCAGCTATTTTTGATCAGTGGGAAGAGTATAACACTGCTTGGACTTGACGTCACTTTTTTCAGAAACATCATACTTGATAAGCCTGCAATTTACCTTAGTAAAATATGCTAAACTAATAAGCATGATCATGAAAATATTTTCACAAGACTGACATTGGTTTGTGGCCAGCTTTGCTTGTGTTTCCTTACAAATGTCCACCGTACTTCAAGGAGTCATTTTACTGTGTCTGAGGGAGGCATCCATGTTAAACTGTCGTGTGCGATCTCAATTGGCTAACATTTTATAACTGACACAAATCCATACTACTAGTACAATTCATCTTCACATATCCCAATTGCCTAGATTGATGCTCTGATCTCAATCAGTGTGTTAATGACTGCAGAGATAAACAACAAACAAACAAAAAACATGCAGATTTAAATATTCTTTGCTCTATTGAAATAATCTCTCCTCTCCTCTCCTCACCTCACCTCACCTCTGCTCACCCCTGCTCACCCCTCCTCTCATCTCGTCACCACCTCACCTCACCTCACCTCTTGTCACCACCTCTCCTCATCTCAGCTTACCTCACCTCTGCTCACCCATCTCTCCTCTCCTCTGACCTCACCTCACCTTTGCTCACCCCTCCTCTCCTCTCCTCTCCTCTAGCCACCACCTCACCTCACCTCTCATCACCACCTCTCCTCATCTCATCTTACCTCACCTCTGCTCACCCCTCCTCACCTCACTTCACCTCACTTCACCTCACCCCTCCTCTCCTCTCCTCACCTCACCTCTGCTCACCTCTCCTCACCTCACCTCTGCTCACCCCTCCTCGCCTCTCCTCACCTCTCCTCTTATCTCACCTCACCTCTGCTCACCCCTCCTCACCTTAGGCTCTCCTCACCTCACTTCACCTCACCCCTCCTCTCCTCTCCTGTCGCCACCACCTCACCTCACCTCTCCTCACCACCTCTCCTCATCTCATCTTACCTCACCTCTGCTCACCCCTCCTCACCTCTCCTCACCTCACCTCACCCCTCCTCCTCTCGCCACCACCTCACCTCACTTCACCTAACCCCTCCTCTCCTCTCCTGTCGCCACCACCTCACCTCACCTCTCCTCACCACCTCTCCTCATCTCATCTTACCTCACCTCTCCTCACCACCTCTCCTCATCTCATCTTACCTCACCTCTGGTCACCCCTCCTCTCCTCTCCTATCGCCGTCACCTCACCTCTCATCACCACCTCTCCTCATCTCATCTTACCTCACCTCTGCTCACCCCTCTTCACCTCTCCTTACCTCTCGCCACCACCTCACCTCTCATCACCACCTCTCCTCATCTCATCTTTCCTCACCTCTGCTCACCCCTCCTCACCTCACCTCTCCTCACCTCACTTCACATCTCCTCACCTCTGCTCACCCCTCCTCACCTCACCTCTGCTCACCTCACTTCACCTCACCTCTCCTCTCCTCTTGCCTCACCTCTGCTCACCCCTCTCCTCTCGTCACCACCTCACCTCACCTCTCATCACCACCTCTCCTCATCTCATCTTACCTTACCTCTGTTCACCCCTCCTCACCTCTCCTCACCTGACTTCACCTCACCTCACCTCTGCTCACCCCTCCTCCCTCCCCCTCACCTCACCTCACCTCTGCTCATCCCTCCTCACCTCACCTCTCCTGTGCTCACCTCTCCTGTCCTTACCTCACCTCTGTTCACCTCTCCTCTCCTCACCCCTCCTCACCTCACCTCTCCTCACCTCACCTCTCTTCACCTCTCCTTACTCACCTCACCTCTCCTCTCCTCACCTCACTCTTGGGAGATTTGTTTTGTGATCTTACAATAGTGACTCAGGAATCACTTGCAGTTAGTTCTTGAAGATGCAAACTTAGTTTACTAAATGTTGGATTTTGAAGAATGGCCAGTGCATGTGACTGAGCATCAAGATGTCGCCTCCACATGATGCTCATCAGTTAGTGTTAATTTGTAGGTGAAAGTTACTGTCAGCACTTTAATACAACTTAATAGTTATGTTTTGAGACAAGTGTCAGTGACTGACAAAATGTACCCAGATCTCCAGATCAGCTGTGTATCTGCGTAAAATACGCATCAGAAATGCAGAAATACGCAGTAAAATAATATCCAAGCGTATCAAATACGCAACGAACATTACAGATACGCTACAAAAATAAAGCTTGTGCATATCATCAAAATGTTGTGAAGTAACCCTGCGTATTCGATTGGCAAATCAGCAACTTATTTTGAAATTATAAACGGGCATTCCATCAACCTTGCCAAACTCCACGATGATCATTTGCCATCACACTTTCTTGTGGAAGTATCGTGGTATTTTTGAGTCCTATAAAGCTCTCGAAACCCACACAACACCAGTTTGCAGGGACTAGATGAATAGTGTGTTTAAATATTTAACTTAAATACCCACATGTGTAAAAACTAGTGGGTAACAGAAATGTGAATACCCAGATAGAATTACTAATACCCAGTGATTTTAAAATGCATGGGTAAAATACCCACAACACCAAAAGCTTATCTGGAGCTATGGCATGATGGTAGCATCTCAGAATCATGAAATAAATAGCCAGCCTTTTTCTGTTGCGTTATTGAAAACAAAGTAAGATGCTCTTGTTTTTTGTTGTTCTTTCAAAATGAGCTTACATTGCATTGAAATGTAATGAAAAGAGCAACCATTTCATAATTTAGATTGCAGTTTGTGGCAGTCATAATCATGATAATGTAATGGTAGTTCGTGCTTTTTTCAAGATCCATTTCCAATAATAATGTCTTGTTTCTTTCAATGACACAGGTTTTGGAGATAGTGTGAAATGTTTCTACTGTGATGGTGGTTTGCGCACATGGGAACGTGGTGATGATCCTTGGTCTGAACATGCGAGATGGTTTCCCCGTTGCCCATATGTTCGTCAAGTCAAGGGAGACAACTTCATCCAGACTGCCCTTGGTGGACGAGAGGTAGCTTGTTAAGTACATCCTGAGCAAGCCTTTTGATAGACAATCACAAATGTTCATATTCATTACAATTTTGTGGATATATGTCCACATATACTGATTCAGTTCATGTAGATCTGTATCTTTTTTTGATAATTACCATGATTACCTGCAGCGAAATTTGCTATTCTTAAACAGCCATGTTTAATCACCTTGAAAAAGCTCTGCAGAAGCATACATTAGATTGCTATGTGCTTGGACCACTTCTGAAATTTGTACTTATGCATGAATCGATCCCTGTATTAATTCTAATCAATATATCCATTAGCCTGCAACGTCTACATCTGGCAACAGCACGTCGTCGACATCGCAACAATTACCTAATAGTAGGTACATTTATATCACAGCTGTGCTGACTTCGGCAAGATTTGTAGTTTTACCTTTCTGACTACAGCTCTTACCAGCCATTTGGTCCAGATATCGGTATTCTTCTGTGTATTCTTTCGCATTCTGTCACCAAGTTATAGAGTTGTATCTCAGATCAATTCATTTGGAAAAAGCCTAACATATTCAGCAGCAATCTTCCAAATATATTCAGATTTGGCACAGGTGTACATGGGGTAGTGTGTGTTCCCTTTGCCGCAATATTATGAAATTTGACCATGATTCGACCATTACAGCATAATAGTTGGTGTCACCAAAGTGAAAATATTGTCAAGGGCTATAAAAATCAAATTAATTAAATTATCTTCATACATCATGTATGTAGGAGTAATGGCAAGAAGTAGGTTTTATAGCGGATATAGCGATCACTAGTTTTGTCCGTCTCTCAATCGTCAGTTTTCTGTTTCTGGAGCACAACACCAAAACTCTTAGATATTTCTTGTTGAAACTTTCTATGTAGATCAGTCTAGTTGGGAACTGGTGCCATCTAATTTGGGGGATTTTTGTTCTTTTTATTTTGTTTTGTTTTCATATTGTTTTGTTGCTGGTCAAAGCCAAAACAGCCATTGCTTTGGTAGTTGAGGTAACGGCTAGGCACCTACAGTGTTGCAAAGAGGGGCCCTAGCTTTGACCTTTGCTGTTGAAAGGCCTTTGCAATTTTACCATGTTATAACCACTGGGCTCAAGGCTTAGACTTTGTGTGAATATAATGACCATAAGAAGATCCAAATTTATGTAAGACATCACTATCTGCATGTTACACTGTTGTCCTAGACCCGTGAAGATAGATGAGAATAGGTCTTCAGCAACCCATTCTTGATGTAAAAGGTGACTATGCTTGTCTTAAGAGGCGACTAACAGGATCAGATGGTCAGGCTCGCTGACTTGATAATCGATGCTCATAATGTCAATCACTGGATTGTCTGGTCCAGACTTGATTATTTACAGACTGTCATCATATAGCTGAAATATTGCTGTGTGCGGCGTTAAACAACAGACATAACAAGATAACTGTTGTCCTGAGCGATGTTGAAAAACTACAATATTTGTTCTTTTCCCTTTAATCTTTTGCACCAATAATTCTTTAACACACTATTGCTTTTTGTTGAAATGTAATGAAACTGTAACTTCAGGTGAACTACACAGCCTTGATGATCTATTGTTGTTATATGTAACATGCCAAGTTAATTCATTTGTAAGCTTCATAAAAACTGTATGTTTTCCAAGGTGCAACCAACAAGAAAGCTGTGCGGACCGTAGACCCGCGAGAGTTGTCTGCCCGGATGGACAGCCCCATGGTACAGACAGTGCTGAAGATGGACATCCCCCGAGACCGGGTGGCAAGAGCCATACAGAACCGACTACAGGAGACAGGTACAGACAATGGCTGAAACACACAAACTGATATTTTCCTGTACTCCTTTGTATAAACAATAAACAATGCAGATAAATACAATAAAATGAATTGTTACTTTAAGCATGTTAATCCTATCTATACTTCACTTCATTGCTAAGCTCAGTCACATTTAAACTATGGTATCACGAAAAGTTAAACATAACATCTTGATGGACATTCACAATCACATTCCATCATCAGGAGTTAACTACTATAGATCTATAATAGATACCAATACTGACTGCCATTGCGGACACAGTACTAGAGTATATTACATTTAGTGGATTTTCTTAGGTGTGTGTTTTTATTGACATGAAGGAACTTAATAATATTATTTGATATATTCATGACTGATCATTAGTGGATAACAGATTGCCTTTCCAACCGAATGATCACTTTTGGAATTTTAACAATCCCCAACACTAGTTGTGGCCTCGACTGCTGCAATGCATTTTCAAAGATGTGTCCTTTGGCATGTAGGATAATCTGGCTGTGAGTCCATATTTGGCCAAATGAGTCACTTTGGGCTTTCCTCACACATAATGCTGACCTGCCATGATCAATCTCATTAAAATCAGATCTTAGTTCTCGCTATCGCTAAACAAAGTTCTGAGGACATCCCATTAAGGGTCACGTCAGAACGACTTTTCATCCAACCAATCAGAGCATCGCTTACCAGATCATGAAAGTGACTCTCGGATTGTGTTTTCTAATCATGCAACCATGAAATATTTAACACGGGGTATTTCGAACGACAGTTAGGGGTTTTATGATTATATCCATATAATCTAGGCCATCTATATGCCGTTCCAGAATGTTCTTCTTATCAGTTTTAATTTTTTTAATCGAGAATACGTCAAAATATGTTTCGAAGCGTAGTCGCCAGTTTGAAACTTGTGTAGTAAAGCTCAAGAAAGCTGCCTTCTGATTGGCTACTGTCATTTACTTGTCAGTCTATCATTGGTCGGTCAAAATTCGCGAAAGGTCGTTCTGACGTGACCTGTAATGGGATGTCCTCTGATCTTTGTATAGCGGTAGCAAAAAGTAAGATCTGATTTTAATGAGATTGTACCATGATGTAACTGAAGTAGTGTTCGAGTGGCATTAATCACCATGCCCTCACTCAAGATAATAATATTCACTGTAATAATTAAGGCATTGTGCGATTCAGGATATTGCACAGTCTCACTTTAGCATTCTTCACAAGTTAACACACAACGCAAGAAGGATGTCCTGCCCAGCATTTCATCCTTCGACAGACTTGCAGAGATAAATATAGCATGCTCTCTAAACTTTGATCTTCACTCACAGGTGATGACTTTGCCTCAATTGAAGCACTGATGGATGCCATCTTCCATCTTCCTGATGGGGAGCAATCTGCTCCTGAAACACCCAAAGTAGTTGTCGGGGCTTCCAGCCAGAATGTCCCTGCTGCCTCTGGAGATGACAAAGGTCAGTGATGCAAACTTACATTCATTTCATTGTCATCAGCTTTGTTTTATGGAATGTTTTCACAAAGAAAATCAATATCAATCCAATTCCAATGAAGTCAAAGGTGAGAAATTAAACTGATCTAGTTCAAAAGAAACATGACAGTGATTAAGAATGAACAACTTTGTTTCTGAACCGAAATACTGGCTCAGCTGAATTGGAAAAGTTTTGACTTCTTATTTGTCTGTAACAATTGCCAGTTTCAGATTTTGACAAAATATTGATCAATGTAGACAAAAATCAAGTTATAATAAGGGAAACGAATGCCACATAACATTTGCTGGGAGACAGATGGAAAGCATGAATCTGAAGGGACGGTGGGGTAGCCTAGTTTAAGCGTCAGCTCATCACACCGAAGACCCAGGCTCGATTCCCCTCATGGGTACATTGTGTGAAGCCCGTTTCTGGTGTCCCCCGCCGTGATATTGCTGGAATATCGTGAAAAGTGGCGTAAAACCCTACTCACTCACTCATGAATCTAAAAGGATTTCAGGGTTGATTGCATGTGATGAAAATACCAATAATATGTCACTGAGCAGCAGCTTCACGTATATTGGGAATGATCCAATCTTAGTTTTGTCTGAATTGGATCTCCTTTGCCTTGGTTAGTTTTTGAAACAATGCATTGCTTGGATATATCAGGGTATCATATCGTGTACATGTACCTCTCCTTTTTCGCCTTGAGGAACAGTTTTGTTAAGGTCAAGGTCATCTTCAATGTCACAGCCTGAAAACAGGAATGTTCATTGTGTAAGGGTTTACTGCAGGTCAGTGAAACTCTATTAGAAATTATCTTCAGGGACTTCTGTATTAAGTTACGGTGACACTGACGGTAATGCTTAAAGTGTGTTTCCCCTTTTTAACTAATATACCTTTTTCTGCATATATTTTATATCTTTATATAAGGACAAAGTAGTTGTTTTATTTGTTTGATACTTATGTATTACATCAATAACAATCATATTGTAAAGTAGGGTCAAAAAGGTGTCAAAAGGAATCACATGCTTCATGGAAGTAGTCATATATTCACATGAAAGTAGGAATTACAAGAAACTAGAAATCCTCAGGAATCAGGTAGTCAAAATCTGAATCAAACACTTTCTCAGAGCCGCCACCAAATTTTGTTACAAATATGAGGTGCAAAGTCACTTGACATTTCCTTGTGCGGGATACATCGGTATACATGAACAGTTTGTAAAGGTTTGGAAGTTTGACTAGCCTCGACATGGGCATGGTGTATTCCTTATCCTCAACTCGAACTTTTGCTGTTCGAACTCTGCCATCAGCACTCACACTGGTCTCAGCTACATGTCCAACCAAACATCGCTCCCAAGGGTCAACAATTAGCACCACATCATCATCACACAAGTCACTTCTACCGGCTCTCCATTTTTGTCGAATTTGAAGAGGGGCAAATAGTACCTGACATATCTCTTTCAGAACTCATCGGCTATCACCTGACTGTACTGCCAATGCTTCCTTCCCAATAACTCCTCTTCTGGGTACACTACATGTAGCAGTGCGGGGTCAGGCCTCCCGATAAGGAGAGAGTTTGGTGTCACAGGATCTAGATCAGCCACATCGGTGGGGACATGACCTAGAGGTTTTGAGTTCATGATGGCTTCAACTTCTATAAGAACAGTTCGCAGGACTGGCTCAGCCACTGACTGATCTCCGAGGACAACTCTAAGGCCATGTTTAATAGTCTTTATTTCACGCTCCCAGCAGCCACCAAAGTGAGGTGCATAAGGTGGATTACACTTGAAGCGTATCTTCTGCTTGGTCAACTGCTGAGCGATCTCAGGGCTCATTGAAGCAAATTCTTCAGTCAACTCCAGGTCACCACCCTTGTAATTCGTACAATAGTCTGAAAGTATTGCATATGGCTTTCCTCCGCGGGCTATGAATCTTCTCAAAGACGTGAGGAAAGCATCACTTTCTATCCTCTCGAGCAGATCCAGGTGAACTGCCCTGGTTGTGAGACACTTGAAGACTATTCCCCATCGCTTTTCTCTTCTGTGGCCAATCTTGACCGTCACTAGTCGAAAACAATCCATGCTAGTTGAGTAGAATGTGGGTTTGTACACTCAAAGGCATGATGTAGGGATGTAGGTTCACAGCAGAGATATTGCCACAGAAAGTTTTCTTCAGGTCATATGCTTTCTCAGGGAAATCAGGTATATCACATTTGTCTATGAGAGTCGGCCATTTCTCAGAGGATCCTAGAGGGAAGGTAGGACTGTTCCTCCATCGGGAGGCAACACAGACTTACTGTAAACCTCTTATGATATCGGCTGTGTTATCCTTCGAGTTCACGATCTTCAGCAACACATAAGAGGCAACTATGCTTGTCATAATAGGCAACTATGCTTGTCATAATAGGCAACTACGCTTGTCATAATAGGCGACAAATGGGATCGGGTGGTCAGGCTCGCTGACTTGGTTGATGCATGTCATCAAACCCAATTGTGTGGATCAATGCTCATGATATGAATCACTGGATTGTCTGGCCCAGACTCGATTATTTACAGACCACCATCATATAGCTGGAATATTGCTGAGTGCCGCGTTAAACAACCAACCAACCAACCAACCAACCTTCGAGTTCACATAACACCAGCAGTCTACAGAAGTAAGGGCTTGTATGTCAGAGACCCAAGTCCCAACAAACACCTTGTACCGACAGTTGTAGCGTTGCTCCACATTATGGTATCTTGGATCACCAGGCTTAGTTCTGTGTGAAGTGTAGTGGCTAACTGTGTACTAGTAAGGGCAGCAGAGAGTTGAAGTCTAGGCACTGAGAGCTGCTTCTTGAGGGCCACTCTACTTCTCGCAGCTATGACACCATGACTATCTACACTTCTCAAATAGGCAGCTGAACCAAAGGCATGCTCAGAATAGTCCAGAATATGTGCAGTCGTCTCTGTCACTGAGAAGGATCATGGCTTCTGGATGTGTAGCATCTTGGTAAGCGAACGAGGGGGATATCACACAGTTCAGAATCCCACTTGATCATCCCTCCATTTATCATGAAGTTCTCCAGTCTCTATCAAAGCGCTCCATTCATGTTTCAATCTCCATAGGTCCTGCACCAAGACTTTGGCTTGTGTTGTGAATGGCGTCAAGTTGCCGATAGGATCATACTGTGTGGCAAGGATCTGATGCACAACTTTCATTGTCAGTTTGTCATATGTAACCGGTTGATACCTGTAGCAGAATTCGAAAACCGTTCAGTGTATTTGATAGAAACTTGGCAGAGCTCTCAGGCACATACTGAAGTGGTGCCTTTTGATATTTTGGGATTTTTCTAATTTTTATTTTTTTAAATTTTTATGGAATGAAGTTGGACATAGACTCAATTGGGGATGGGGTTCGTTTCCGGGGCAGAATTCGAAAACCATTCAGTGTATTTGATCGAAACTTGGCAAAGCTATCAGGCACATACTGAAGTGGTGCCTTTTGATATTTTGGGTTTTTTCTAATTTTTATTTTTTTAAATTTTTATGGAATGAAGTTGGACATAGACTCAATTGGGGATGGGGTTCGTTTCCGGGGCAGATTTCGAAAACCATTCAGTGTATTTCTTCGAAACTTGGCAAATCTATCAGGTACATACTGAAGTGGTGCCTTTTGATATTATTTTTTTTACGACTTTTTATTTTTAAAAATTTTTATGGAAAGAAGTTGGACCTGGACTCCATTGGGGAACGGGTTCGTTTCCAGGCCAGAATTCGAAAACAATTCAGTGGGTAAACAATGTATGCTTCTTAAAGAACATTCAACTGTTGACTCATTACATACAGAATTGCACATTTACTAGTGGTTACTTTACAGACAACTGCCGGGGGGATATGTCATCTTTCTGATGACTCTTGTTGTTCTTGTTGCGCCACAGGAATCTGAGGATGGGTTTGTCTTCAGGTAGGAGTTAAATCTGGTGGAACATACCCTTTATATCACCTGATATTCCAACTGGGTATTGTTGAAATCTCAAGAACACGCCTAGAAGGGAGGATCCAAGGGGTGGACCCGGTAGAAGCTGGCTATTGAGGTCTTGGTCCTTGTATTCGAAGGAGCAATTGATGTTTGTGTTTGACAAGGTGATGGGAATAAACCATGATTCATCGGTTACCTTTGCCTGTTCGTCGCTTACGATTCGCATAAAACCTGCATCAACTAGTCTCTGAGTCTGATCATTGTGGATCTTTGCAGGTTCTGATTGTGTTTCTCGGTTCGTCTTAGAATCGACATCACAGCTTTCTTTCCAGCCTGTAACTTAATACAGTCTGATCTATGCAGGAGTGGTGTTAAATAGTGCTTACCATCGCTAACCTCCACTTTTAGGCCACACATAACTTTTCAAATATGAGGGGAGATAGCGTTCCCTTGTAGGCGTCACTCCCTCTATTGGCTCTCCCGATGATTGCAGATGCTTCCTCCATAACTGGGGCGGTCGGGTAGCCTAGTGGTTAAAGCGTTCGCTCGTCACGCAGAAGACCCGGGTTCGATTCCCGACATGGTTACAATGTGTGAAGCCCATTTCTGGTGTCCCCCGCCATGATATTGCTGGAATATTGCTAAAAACGGTGTAAAACCATACTCACTCACTCGCTCACTCCTCCATAACTCTACGCTCTCTTAGCTTGGGAAAGACTTTCCATGTCGCAATGCTTCAGTTCATCCGGCTCCCAGTACCATGTAAAGTAGGGTCAGATAGGTGTCAAAAGGAATCCCATGCCTCATGGAAGTAGCCTATTTCCCCAGTGTCGGCGTTGTCAGAGGAGCTTAATGGAACTTGAGTGCCACCTCCCCAGGAGGTGGCGGTTGAGGCGTAGGTGGCACCATGAGTCAAAGTACCTGTGCGACTTCCGATATATGACACCTGGAGGATCGGAACTAAAGGATGTAGGCTATAACAATCCAAGCCAGAGATCCAGATGAGCTGCGTATCTGCGTAAAATACGCATCAGAAATGCAGAAATACGCAGTAAAAAAATATCCAAGCGTATCCAATACGCAACGAACATTACAGATACGCTACAAAAATAAAACTTGTGCGTATATTCAAATATTGTGAAGTAACCCTGCGTATTCGATTGGCAAATCAACAACTTATTTTGAAATTATAAACGGGCATTCTGTCAACCTTGCCAAACTCCACGATGACAGTTACATCATGATCATTTGCCATCACACTTTCTTGTGGAAGTATCGTGGTATTTTTGAGTCCTATAAATCTCTTGAACTCACACAACACCAGTTTGCAGGGACTAGATGAATAGTGTTTTTAAATATTTAAATGTGTAAAAACTAGTGGGTAACAGAAATTTGAATACCCAGATAGAATTACTGATACGCAGTGATTTTAAATTGCATGGGTAAAATACCCACAACACCAAAAGCTTATCTGGAGCTCTGCCAAGCCCAACAATCCCTCAGAATATTTATTGAGCCACATGTGACACAAGTGTAATATCTGGCAATGCACAGAGTTCAGCGTTGATTTGTCTATGATGCGCATGAAAAGATTTTCAAAATATCTGTCGATGCCCAGATGGCGGTTCAATTGCTTTGCAAATACTGCAGTTGACCGAAATCCATGTTGTTTACAAACTGGATGTCTAGTTTGTTTCGCGATTTAGATTTGACTATGCATGGACTCATTAGTCCAGCCAAAAGGTAACTCCGGAATTCAGCCTTGTTCAGCAAGGGAGGGAACTGCACTTTATAGTCAGTTTATGCCGATGCCTCTGGAACATGCCATTAGTCTGACAGGAAGTTGCAGCAGGCATGTATTTCACCAAAGCAAAGGCAATGGAGGTGCATGTTGGTTTTTAATGATTTCTCGAAACACTTCTGTTTCTGTGATTCATTTCTAGTGTATCAAACATTTTAGTGTGAGGTTGAGCTCTTGCTGGGGTTTTCAGTGTTTCTATATGTTTACAGCTATATGTTCTGTGTTGTAGGGGAAAAGTGTGATGACTCAAGTGAGAGAACAATGGACGATGATGACTCCAGTGATGAGGGTAAGATTGATTGTTCACAGCCTACGTCATGGTTACCCTATGTGTTAGGCATGAATAACAAATAAGAATAACATTTGACCACATTTTTTCGAAAACGTCCTTTTTAAAACCATGTGGCTCTTGTATATGACTTTTTATAGCCCTGGGAAATGTATTTGACACACTGGCCAGTCTTGTCAACGGTGAAGTTCATCCTCTAGGTTATAACCTGAAGAAAAGTTAATTTTTACATTAATCGAAGAAGCATTTACTGTATACAGTGTTCTCGTTTACCAGTAATTACCAGTTTTTAACTGGTAAAATTAGGCTTGGACCGGTAATTCATGTGACTGCCAGTCCCTGTGGACCGGGAAATAAAGTACAAAATACTGGTTACCGGGTAATCTTTGTTGTTGAAAAAACATCATCGATGTTCATATAAGTATGTTTTTTTAAACGAAGTCAGAAATCTGTTACCATCAGGGTTTCCCCTTGTCTATTATTTGTGCAAGGAAAAACAAACATTTCCTTTGCTTCGAGGTAAAATACATATTTGTAGCAACTTAGGCTCAAAATATTAAAAAAAGAGAGCGAAGAAATAGTGACTGAACTTTGTGTGAATGACGTGGAGATGTAACTAAGTTACTTCAGAGATGATGTCATTGCACTGAACATGATGTTGAAAGAACTATAACCAGGTAATTTTCATACAGTTTTATATTTGTTCAAAGTTCGAACTGACAAAAATTAGTGGGGACTGGTAATTTTTGGAGTTGTCAGTCCACCAGGACTGGCAGTTTCAAAAGCCAGCAGGAACACTGTGTATATCAATGAAACTTGATCAAGGTTAAGCACAGTTGAGGTAGTTCAGGTGGCTATATAAGTAACATAATGTTGATGTTAGGGTGATGTTAAACACCATTTCACCTGACATCTTTGCGTACAGAAATAAACCATGTGTTTGCATGACATGCTATACATATAAATGCAGGATTGTATGTAATGATTTGTGGACCTTCTAGAGTGAGTGAGTGAGTGAGTATGGTTTTACGCCGCTTTTAGCAATATTCCAGCAATATCACGGCAGGGGACACCAGAAATAGGCTTCACACATTGTACCCATGTCGGGAATCGAACCCGGCTCTTATGCATGACGAGCGAACGCTTTAACCACTAGGCTACCCGACAGCCCCGAACCTTCTAGGAATGGCTCGTAATGGCTGCTATTGTTGCAAGTAATTGCAAACATTTTCCAAGTGTGTCAGCATGTTTTAATTCATAATTTGTGTTATCTAGAACAACCTCCTTTTCCCAATTTTAGCACATCATCTCAAGTATTTTCACCTAATTCTTTTAGGGGGCGGTAGGGTACCTTAGTGGTTAAAGCGTTAGCTTGTCACGCCTAAAACCTGGGTTTGATTCCCGACATGGGTACAATATGTGAAGTCCATTTCTGGTGTTCCCTGCCATGATATTGCTGGAATATTGATAAAAGCGGTGTAAAACCATACTCACTTATTCATTTAAAACCTTAAGATTGAATGACACTGTTTATGTGCTTCTGTTAATGCAGAAAATTGGAACATGTAGTATTATGGTCCAGTGTTTTGGAATTTAGAACTAAAGTTATTATCCTAAATTGAATTATAAATAAAATAGGAGGTGCTGATGAGGATCCAATAGATCCCTCTTACATTCTGACATCGCAATGTAATTTTCATCTTAATGTTTCCAAATAGTAAGGGATTTGTTTCACTTTGTATCTGACAGTGTAAGAAGCACTAGGGAAACCAATCTCATTAAAATCAGACCTTAGTTCTTGCTATCGCTAAACAAAGATCTGAAGACATCCCATTAGGGGTCACGTCAGAACGACCTTTCATCCAACCAATCAGAGCGTCGCTTACCAGATTATGAAAGTGACAGTCGGAATGTGATTTCTTATCATGCAACCTCGAAAATTTTAACACGGGGTATTCCGAACAATAGTTACGAGTTAAACAAGTGAATCCGTACAATCTAAACCATCTGTCAGCCATTCCAGAATGTCCTTTTGTTCAGGTTTAAAATTTGTAATCGAGAATCTGTCAAAATATGTTTCGAAGCGTAGTCGCCAATTTGAAATTAGTGCCGTAAAACACGAGAAAACTGCCTGTCATTTGATTGGTCGGTCAAAGTTTGCGCAAGGTCGGTCTGACCTGACCTGTAATGGGATGTCCTCAGATCTTTGTTTAGTGGTAGCGAGAACTAAGATCTGATTTTAATGAGATTGTAGGGAAACTGACCCATGACCGTGTAGTTTCATACTGTGACAGGCATCCACAGATTCCAAGCCTGTTTCTGGCACTACTTGTGAAGACTGACTCTTGTATTATTGCTAAGGCCAGAGCTCCAGATAACTTTTTGAGCAATTGAGTTTTTACTCGGAGGTTTCTATTTTAATTGGGTTGTTACATTTTTGGTTGGGTAACCAATATTTTTTCACTCATCTATTCATCACTCTGTTGGGTTTTTCCCAAAATGAGTCAACATTTTGAGATTTCAAAAAAAAAAAAAAAATGTTTTAAATGTATATAAAGGTTCTAACTATAGGCTTGACTCGGAAAGTAAATTAGCTCGTAATTGTGTGTCGGAAATTAGCTCCGTTGTAGGCATGCTGAAAAAGTTCACTGGGTATTTACGCGTGCTGTTTTTATACATTTGAGTTTTTCATTTAATGCATGCGTTTCTGTACGGGAGTAAATTGAAAGAATTGGGTTTTGAATACTTTTGGGGGGTATTTTACGCAAATAAACAGCTTATCTGTAGGCTATATGAAAATATTTCTGGTTCTACATATGATCTTACCAAGTTTTTGCAAGTCTTAATGAAGAACAGAATCCTGTGACTGAAATTGCTTGTTTCAAACTTGTCAGTACATTCACTCACCCTTTAATGAAACTATTGTTGTTGTGCTACATTTATAATAAAAACATTTATTCCATCATTTCTTGAACCAATATGATGATGTCTTGATTGCAGATTCCCAGTCTTTGATGGAAGAAAATAGACAGCTGAAGGAACAGAGGCAGTGCAAGATCTGCATGGATGAGGAAGTGAATGTTGTATTTCTACCATGTGGCCATCTTGTTTGCTGTGCGACCTGTGCACCTGCCCTACGGAAGTGCCCCATTTGCAGAGCCAACATTCGTGGCACCGTTCGGACATTTATGTCATAATTGTACACGGGAAAGGGTACCCACTGTTGCTTTTGCTGAGCCTTAGACAATCTATTCCTGGGCATTCTTATATTTCTGTTTAACACTTTAGATTGTATCATTATAGTTGTGATGTGTCTATTGTGCAATCAAAGGTTCTGAGTTACGTATTTATACCTATATAATTCATGGTAATGAACAAATTGTACCTTACTGTGCCTGCTTTCAGCAAAATTATACCTCCATGCAAAACACATTTTTGTTAAATTAAACAATCCAGCAAGGAGGTGGAAGACGGATTGTCTGTTTGACACTTTTGGTGCCATCATGCTGGTCAATGTTACTCAGTCATACAAGAGCAGGATGAGGGTCCAGGTCCAGGAGTATATCTTCCTAACTTGGAACTGTTACCAGGTACAAGAGGCCGGAGCGGCCATGTTCCCTCGGCGGCCATGTTCCCTCAGCGGCCATGTGGCCATGTTCCCTCGGTGGCCATGTTCCCTCGGTGGCCATGTTCCCTCAGCGGTCATGTTCCCTCGGTGGCCATGTTCCCTCGGTGGCCATGTTCCCTCAGCGGTCATGTTCCCTCAGTGGCAATGTTCCCTCAGCGGCCATGTTCCCCCAACAGCCATGTTCCCTCAGCTTCTGTTTTCATAGAAAGCTGTCTGTTTTGATATCTTGACCCTTTTGAGTGCAGTAACATTGTCTTCCACACGTTGGAGTTTTATGGTTTACATATATTTGGCTTACAAGTTAGCTTGGCTAGGTCAACATGAAAACAAATAAAAATTGAGGATCTCTCTTGTATGTGGTAAAAAGTTGACAAGGTTGGCTGATTGAATGGCAAAAGTAATGATGTTTTTTTTAATGTTTACTGTTGCATGTGCTCCCATATATGAAAAATAATTTATTTCAGTAGATTTTTGTAGTCTGTATTTATTCTTACATGTATCAACAATGTACAACAATCAAATTTTGTGTCTGACCCTTACATGTCCACACAGTATCAATCTTTGAACACATTCAATACCTCTAATGTTTATTTACCATACTACATAACTAATTCCTGTGTTACATGTAATTTGTCATGCTTTCTTAGGCTTGACGTTATCAAACTGTTTAAGCTTCAAGATTACGTGCACATGTTCCTAATGACTTTTACATCAATGTGGCATTATTTTTTGGCAGCAGATTTGCCTGTGATTTAACCTTGATAAAGTTTGGTACCATGGCGTATCCTGGTTTTGTTTGGTGCAACTTGTTTTCATGTGAACAGGCATCGGTGCAAGTTGAATCAAATTCCTCAAATCGAGCCCTGGACTCCCAACAATCATTTCTAGTCTACACCTTAACATTGTTCAATTTTTATATGAAAGATGCTTTTTAGAAACTTTCAGACAAGATTGATGTGTTGTGGGAAGGTGGACAGTCTGCCTATGATGTTACTGCTGACAGACTTGGGAAAGATTTTGTTTGATTATATACTTTTTGCAAATTTGTAGCAGATGTTTTCTGCAATTCCCTTTTTTTTGCTTTGATTCTACTGTCACTTATACACATTGTATCTCATTTCGAGTTGTGATCTATGCAATAAAAAACTACTACTGTACATGTATGCTTTGTAACATTATTGGTTCTGTTGTATCCTGTCATACTTCAGCGGGGGGCACGGGCGGCCTAGTCGTCTAAGGCGCCGCGATTCGCTGTGCAGAGTTGCGTCCCTGGACACGCCAGAAACCTATGATTGTGGGTTCGAATCCCGGTTCGCCCCGATTATGTTTCTAGGTTTGTCAGCACCATACCCGTGCTCGTGGGTTTCACCGAAGTGGTAAACGTCTGAGACCTGCATCACTTCGGGTTTCCTCCCACATTAAGCTGACACGCCGCGATATAACTGGAATACTGTTAAAAGCGGCGTTAAACCCAACTCACTCACTCACTCACTCATACTTCAGCGTCATAAAACCACACTTTATTATCTCACCCCACGAAGTCTTTCTTTCCGTCCGGCGCAGAACAATAAAACCATGAGCGATATCTCAACCAAACTTGGCACATAGATAGGTCTAGTGGTGAACTAGTGCCATTTGATAGTTTGGTATTTTTGAAAAATATAATTTTGTGTTTCCTTGACTTTGACTGAAAATAGTGGTAGTGCTCGTTTCCGGAGCAGATCTTGAAAACCATAGAATATGTCTTGCCTTGCTCACAACCCGACGTGTCATATTGGTCAGGGATATGAGTATTTTAAATGCTGGTTCTTTTCTAGGATTTCAGAGCTATTCCTTAAAATATGGAGGTTGAGAAAACTACCATTTATATACCTTACAACACTAGATATTGTTTTTCAACATTCTGGTGTCATTTGTACTGGAATTGTACATTGAAACATTCTGGGGCCAGGGAATAAGTGTGGTCTTACATTTCATTTACAACCATGCCTCTCTAGCGGACAAATACCTCTCAATAAGAAATGCACAACTGACCTCTTATCTGTGATATTCTAGTTATCATACTGTTCTTCGATGACAGATTTTTATAAAGTTTAAATATATGTATATTTCATGTCTAACTTCTCGTCACGATATGGCTGAAATATTGCCGATGTGACGTAAAGCATTAACTCACTCACACTCAAACTCACATGCCTGATCCTCAATTGAGAGATATGTTGCCATTCCTCATTCAATGACTGGGGTAAAAGGTGACTGTGTTTGTCATAAGAGGCAACTAACAGGATTGGGTGGTCAGGCTCGCTGACTTGGTTGATGCATGTTATCTTATTCCAAATGCGTAGATCGAAGCTCATGATGTCATTCACTGGATTGTCTGGTCCAGACTCGATTATTTACAGAATGCGGTCATATTGCTGAGTGCAGCTTTAAGCAACAATTAAAGTAATGCCTGGGTCATTTCTCGGAGATTCTGTACTGGCGGGTCCTGGCTCTAACACGACGTCCCATCTGATCCCATAGATGCTCGACTGGATTCAATTTTGGCTTCGAGAAACCCAAGGCAGTGTCTAATGGGTGTTGTTCTGGAGATGGTCATTCACAGGTCGGGCATTGTCGTTCATGAAGAATGAGGGGCGGTCGGGTAGCCTAGCGGTTAAAGCGTTCGCTCGTTACGCCGAAGACTCGGGTTCGATTCCCGACATTGGTGCAATGTGTGAAGCCCATTTCTGGTGTCACCCGCTGTGATATTGCTGAAATATTGCTAAAAGCGGCATAAAACCATACTCACTCACTCATGAAGAAAGGACGTGTGGCAAGTGCATGGTTATCAAACTGAGGCACAACAAAACCGATATGGTATCTTTATACCTTTGTCCATTTGTCTCCTGAACTTTGATCATATTAAATTTACAATCTAAGGAGCAACATCCCAAAACCATCACTGAGCCACCACCACATGCCACTGTTACCTGATGTTATGCTGATGATAAAAATATTCCCTATTGTCTCCAGACACAAGACTTACCATCAACGTGGTGCAATAAAAACTGACTCTCCTCAGACCAATGAATCCTCCATGACCTCAAGTTCCAGTGTGATCCAGCCTGATCCAGCCTGACACCAGGCTAAACTGTCCCGCATGTGTTGGGGTGAGAGTAGTTGACGTCTTCTGGCCCTTTATCCTGATGCATTCAGTCGACGCCTGATGGTGCTGAGGGGCACCCTGTTGTGGGTATGCCAGTGGTGATGAAGACAGTTGAAGTAGGCAGATGTTTTGCCTGGCGTACAAGGACCCTGTCCTCTCTGGCACTGGTCGTCCGTGGACGTCCTGATCTTGGCAAGTCGCTCACATGCCCAGTTCCTAATGAGTCGACTGACTGTAAAAACAGGCAGGACTGAAGTTGAACGCAAATAAGTTTGCAAAGAAGAGAGATACGAGCTTGGGCCATATTGTGGAAGCAACAGGGATACAGCCAGATGCAACAAAGGTATGAGAAACTACAGTATCCTCATCCGGAGAATGTGACTGAGGCGAGATGGCGTTTACGTTTACCTCCGACTTGTCTTTGAAGATGTTGGAAGACAACTGAATCATCTAACTGAGAAGAGTACTCCATTTATATGGACTGTACAATTTAAACAGGACGTCACAAAATTGCTGTAGAAGTTAACTACTGCTCGAGTCTTAGTGGGCGTTCAAGTAGCCTAGTGGTTAAGCGTTCGCTTGACACGTCGAAGACCCGGGTTCCATTCGTGACATGTGTACAATGCGTGAAGCCCATTTCTGGTGCCCCCCTCACCCCCGTGATATTGCTGGAATATTGCTAAAAGCGGCGTAAACCAAACTCACTCACTCACAGGAGACATTTCTGGTGGACACTGATGCTAGCAGCTGGGGGCAGTACGAACTCAGAAGGGGAGGGTTCTGAATATGCATCAAGAACAAGAAGAACGCCTGTCGAAACGAACCAGCCAGTCAGAGAGAGGGAATATTTGGTAACTATTTGGCCACTTGAAAAGTTCTGCATGAATCTGGAGGGAACGAGTTTACAGCCATCAGTGACCATAAACCTCTGTCCTATCTGATGAAACTGAAAGAGCCAAAGGGAAAATCTTGCATGATGACATGCATTAAGCATATGATACGATGGGATACGATGACATGTATCCACCAAGTCAGCGAGCCGGATCTTCACGGGTGGCACTGAGATTTGAAGCTATCAGTCATAGGATAAGAATGGTAGCTTATGCAGCAAAACAGGAAACTCCATTTCAAGTTCTGTTTGGTTTTCGTCCTACAAACCAGCCGAGCATATTTAGGTCAGAAAAATATCCGAATCATGAGAAAGTGTAAAAAAAAAAAAAAAAAGACAATAGATGAATGGGAAAGTCTGGCAAGAAAGGAAATGTAAGGTTCAAACCATATCAAGAGGAGGAGAAAGTCTGGCTTTAAATACCTTGCAGAAAAAGGCATCTCTTCCAGGAATTGATAAAAAAAAATAGGTGGTCTGGCGGACTCACAGGTTACAAACAAATGTATGAGCTCCTGGTGCACATGTCCAACACGAGGGGACGTGCAGAGGCAGGACATGAACAGGCTGTGTTGCCGACTGACATCGATGACTTTAACAATGTTGCAGTTGCTCATAGGGGACATCTTCCAGAGGCAAGGGAGTTACCGTATTCGACGTAATAAGCGCCCAGGGCGCTCTCAAAATTAGAAATAGGGGGCTCTTATTAGAATATAATTTTGGTAAGAAAAAAACAACAGAAAGATCGTAAATTTCGTGGTTTATGCTGACAGCCTGAAATGATACAAAAGAAAGGTCTGTGCGTATGATACACGACAGATATATTTTCCAGAATGTAATTGCCCATAATTAAGGGTTCATATAACACACGAGTGCGTATTATACGCGAATAAATAAGTCTTGTGAACATTGATCAATCGGAAGGGGTGCTAATTGGGATTATTCACTAGCCAATATATTAGACAATATCGCCCTGAGCGCCTATTACGTCGAATACGGTAACTGACTTTAAAAGTCCACGTGGAAACTTGACTGGCGTGTTCGCGACAGGCGCTTACGGTCTAAGGGAGAAGTGATTACGAGTGAGAGTGTCGGGAAATTCTAATGTTGCCAGTACGTAACTGGTTGTTAGGTGGCTAGTATGTCTGGTTAGTGTATATGTAACGGATATTATGCAACGGCAGTTTGAGTCTAGACCTGAAATAAACAAGTCGTGTTGTAGCCATACGTGTCACGATCTTTCAGTAAATTCATTATTTGTTTCGGAGGTTGAATATCAGTATTTTATTCACTTCAACTCTCGATGAAGGGAAATGGTGACGGATTTCCCAGCTTATGACCAACACACAGAGTCATGTTTCCGCCTATGTTTTACCAGGAAGAGCTTATAGAGAGTCTCATACACGAGCTTACGTTGGAGGAAATGGGAAGTTCAGAAATAAATGGCGTGATCGAATTCTGGAATTGGGAATACTATTAATATTTGAATACACAATATTTATAGCATTTTGTTGAACAGTTTGGTCATCGGGAGTTTGGTCATCAGTTGTTGGTTCAGCAGATTGCAGGGGCGGTTATTGAGGCACGGGATATAACCGGACATTAAGTTATTAACAGGCTTGAAATGTACTACCGCATTCGACGTAATAAGCGCCCAGGGCGGTCTCAAAATTAGAAATAGGGGGCTCTTCTTAGAATATAATTTCTAAGAAACAAAAACAGAGTTGAAAGATCGTAAATTTCGTGGTTAATGTTGACAGCCTGAAATGATACAAAAGAAAAGTCTGTGCGTATTATACACGACATATATTTTCCAGATTTTTATTGCCCATACTTAAGGGTGCGTATAACACACGAGTGCGTATTATACACGAATACATAAGTCTTGTGTACATTGATCAATCGGAGGGGTTCTAATTGGAATTTTTCACTAGCCAGTAAATTAGACAATATCGCCCTGGGCGCTTATTAGAGCGGGGCGCTTATTACGTCGAATACGGTAGTACCAGTAATTTTTGCTTGCTCATAAAAGCGGATTGTAAATGTAAATCTCCTGTTCCGGATGTTTATTATCAGTATTTTAGTCACTTTCCTGTTGTAAGGTCAACATAAACTCTGAAGGG